TTCCTATTCACACTATAGATGAAAAAACCTTGTCACGTTGATAAACTTTTATATTTACTATTGAAACATTGATAATATTCTATGAATATGCTTCTTATCCATTCTTTTTTACTTGCTCAAATTTCAGGTATTTTTTTCACTTAATTTCATAAGTTTAGTACATAACATTGTTGGATTTTTATTTTCGTTTTTTTACCAAACTCATCCCTGTAAAACATGCATAGTAATATGCATCATAAATATTGAGTAATTGTACTCCAAAATTTTCCTAAAATAAGTGATCAATTTTTCAGATCCATTCTTACAATTATTGTGAGTAGGTGTTATCTTAATCTCTAACTATGTTTTTATGAAAATCATCTCTTGCCCTTAAAATATATTTTTAGTTCTTATTTGAATAAATTTATTTTTCATTTTAATAATTAAATATTCCATGTGTTAAAATAATTGTTATATTCTTCATAGCATTGCACAATTAAATTGAATCTTTGCATTTATTGAATTTTAAAATTGTTTTGTTTCTAATAATATGGTAAATATTTTATCTATTTGCAGTGTCGCTGTGTTCTTTGCATTTGTTAGAATGTTTTTCAGTAAATGTTCAATATTGTTCCTATGCATTAAATTGCATTTAATTGTTGTTGCGAACTGTTTGAAAGAATAAATAAATGGATTCAGATAATAAATAAATAAATAAATGGATTTCTGAGTGTGTATTAGTTTGCAAATCAAATTCCAAAATACAGTTTTACTTGAAATCCCTGAAAACTGTTAGAAAAGCGATTCCATGCCGATGTTATATCTTCATGGAATTTTAAATTTTATAAAATTATTTATATGATGCTAAGTATAGTAGTCAGTTTTATATAGGTTATATGTCACATAATAAAAAATAAAATTTAAAGAAAGGTCAGAATTTAATTGTTTGATAAAACCTAAAGACCGAGATTTTTTCGGGTTTCTGGGTGGGTTATTTGCTAAATTAATAAAGTTTTTTAATATATGTTTATAATAACAACCAAAACATGGAGTACTCAAAATAAAATTTTAAGACGTGTCTTGAGAAAAAATTTGTAATCAATATCTATTAAAATTTCAATCACTAAATACATATCTTTTTCCAGTATAGTATGTATCCATTACAAACTGTAACATATTAACGGTCAATTTTTCAATCGAGAAAATGAGAATTACTAATAGATTCTTTCAGAATATCAACAAATATCATTAAGAATTTTGTGTAAATTGTATCCATCACTAAAATATTTTATTGAGTGGTGTTTGTGCCAGACCAGTTAAAATTTACTTTGTAAAGTCAAGGAAGTAATTTTAAGAAAATAGTGCAAAAGAATAGATTAAACACTAAAAAATATACATCAATCAAAATTTAGTTAAAATTTTCAAGGTATCTCAGAAAAAATAAATAGAACTAAGGACAAAATTTGATTGTTTAAAACGTAATATAAATAGAATGAATTGTTTTATTGTATAGAACCAGAATATATTTTATCAATTATGAAAAACAAAGCTAAGTAAATTGCAAAGTAGAAAATTCTTTTTTCACACTTTGTTAGCTTTAAAGTATGTTGGTTAAAATTTGTAAATATTATAGCTTGGTGTTAATAATCAGTTTTTGTTATTTCATTGTTAAATAATATCTATCATTTTTAATTATTCAAAATATTATAAACAAAATTAATATCTAAAATAAAACACATTAACCCTAGCAGCAAAATAACTTGACCCTTATTGGACCAATATTCATGAATCTTGGCGCAATAAGGGTTCAAAGGGCATTATATTTTCCCATATTGACCCTATATAGAATTTTCCGATTCACCCGAGATTTTACAACAAATATCGATCCAATAAGGAATTCTCAGATTCACCCAATATTTTATATTCAATATAGTCTCCCATGTGGCAGAATTTTTTCGGGCTTTCTGCGACAAAACTGTCTAGCAAAAATATCTTTCTGCAAGATACTTTCAATAATAACAAATATGTATGTTGCTAATTTAAAGTAATAAAAATGCGTGTTATAAAAAAAAACATATAATTATTTTCATTGAATATGCAATGTTTTTTTATTCTAATATGAGCGATATCTTGGCATTTTGTTGGGAAGAAAAACGCACTAATTAATTCCTTTATCACATTTTGTAAATCATTATCACATCAAAAAAATCATGAAATCTGTAGCAGTAAATACCGAAAAACAAATGAAATCACGTGAATTGGACTCTTCAAGCAGGGGTTATTCAAATACATGCGTCGTTTCAAGATTTGATTGTTGTAATAAATAAAATCGGATTTTAAAAACATAAGGAAATCAAAAGCAATAATTGCCAAAAAACGATAGAATCGTTGCCTTAAAAAGTAAAGACTCAAATTTCCCATATCATCTGAAATATATCGGGATAATAAAAAACCATGTGCATATCAATAACTGCCGAAAATACAATTGAAACACTACATGGATTTACAATACTATTGCCGTAATTTGAACATGACAAAAAGTGATTATTTAAATGTTAAATTCCAACTTTACGTGTATATTTCTGCAGAAAAGATATCCAAAACTTTTTCTTCCCAAAAGAAAAATCTTTCTGCAAGAACTGTGTTCTGCGACAATGTCGTCATGATTCTACTACAGGGATAGGCCGTATATTAGCCATTCTAGGACCAATATTAAAAAATCTAGACATCCCAATATTGGTTCCTCGATGCATGTTTTTATAAAACCCATATTGAGTCCGACTGGGGACAAGGTAAAACCTGACCAACATTGCAAATGTTATAAAATTCATCATAAAACTTTAAAAAAATATTTGTTTCAGAAAAATTGAAAAGAAACTTTCAACGTTCTTCTAAATTTTATTTATTTTAAGCTATTTTTAAAATGTATATCACTAAACAATTGTATTGGTTCATTTTCTATTACTTCCATTTTATTTATTTTTTAAAATTCCACGGCTGATTGATTGCAAAACACTGTTCTCAATAAAATCCCAAAATCTGAGGTCAGTGGGCAGGTAGGTGACTACAAACAACAAAGGGGGCGAGAGTGTGCGGTAACAGTCCTTGTTAAACTGTTTTACCATAAAGTACGCCACTTTGCGCCAGGTTGTTGGACTACCAAAGCAGGGGAGGCATTCTTTTTGCAGAGGATCGAAGTCGTGATAGCATGCCTTTGGATCTTACCATCACCTATAGCCCATTGTTCAGTTTTAGTGCTACATAAATAAAAATAGCTACAATCTTCCAGTTCTTCTTACTCTCTTCCAGTGTCTTAGAAGAAATATGTTTCTTTTGGACAAAATGCCAATCCTGTATTTAACACATATGCTAGTTTATTCAAGAACGGTATAATATCAATTATTTTTTTTTCTTAAAGAAATAATTAATAATAAAAAAATTAACAAACACAAACTTTACTTTATAAAAATAATTTGAAAGAATTTTATTAACTAAAAAGTTATGATTCTGGAAGAATTTTCTGTACCCCAGCTCTAACATGATTCAAACCTCATCAAAATTCTTTCCATGATGAACAATGGGCTGACGGTCAGCCCATTGTTTACAGGATAGGTGTCCAGAATGGGCACCAGGTCAGCCGCTGACCATTCTGGATGGCATTGCAACTTTCTCTGAAGATAATACCTGTTGTTAATAGCTTTCAAAAATGATTCAACAATTTTCTCTAAATGACACTAAAAATATTTCATAATAAATATTACCAAAATACGTTTAAAAAATTTTTGTTTCTTTATTTTTTATAGTTCTTCATTTCTCAAAATTGTTCCAGGCTTCCAAAATTATTTCTCCCATTAGAAAAACAAAGGCAGTTGAGTGGTAGCGCTCCCGTGCTACAGGTCCTGGGTTCAATCCTCGGGCCAGGCAAGGTTTCCAGCCTTTCATCCCTTCAGTGGGTCGATAAATGAGTACCAAGCATGCTTGGGAACTAAACACTGGGGGTTCCGTGTTCTGCTGACCGGAACATCTGCTCCTGCACCCTAGAGCCCAAGGTCAAGAAAACTGAGATGGCCACGATAGGCCTTGGCCCTCTATGGGCTGTCGCACCACTGAGTTTAGTTTAAAAAAACAAAAATAAAAAAATTCATCCCTAAAAAAAAATCTTTTTTAACATAGTACCCAACAAAACATTCCCATTTTGCTAGTAAAATCAGAAATCTCATTAAAAGCAGCCTGGTTATAACTGTCTTAAAATGTTTTCTTGAAATAAAATAGTTATAAAAGAATAATTATTAGGAAATCAATGTTTAATATTTGTCCTTAAAAACGTCATGTAATATAATGCTATTTCGAATGTTGTCTACTGAACATTTATTTGTTTTACAAATAAGACAACGCACTACAGGATTTGATAAAAACAGAGTCATGCAGTACTTTCAAATTTTAAAGCTGATTATCTAAATCTTTCCAAAAATGTGCACATACTAACTTCTTTGCAAATAAATATGTTTAACATTAATGCACCTTTTTTATTTTTGTAAAATTACGTATTAATAGTTACAGATAAAAATATATATCTATAATTATTGTTATAAGCCAGATTTTATACAAAATGTGAATTAATAATAATTAGTAGGGGTAGAAATTAAGAAAATTTAGCCACTAGTCTACGGACCAGTGACTAAAAGAAATTTCTAGTCCTTACACGTTCTTACTTGTCTGTTTGTATGTATCTATTGAATTTTTTTATCAGAAAAATGTTTATAAGTGAATTAAAATTAAAAGTTCTTAACAGAATAATGTGTAATGGTCTTAGCTATGATGAAATAGGCTATTCAGTGATAATAACACAGATCAAAACACAAAATTAAAAAACTAAATCAGCATAGAATCCCTTTACATCAATAGCTGGTCCGAGAGACCACTGATAATTATTTTTTAGCAATGGACCAACATTAATTCAGCCTTGATTAAGATATTAAAGTTGCTCATAATGCACACCATCAAAAAAAAAAAAAAAAACATTTATTAAATGAAAACATTTTATTCTTAAATATTTACATACATTTAATGGTGGAATGCAAACCGTCGGTAATAATTTAATAATGCTGACTATATTGAAAATGTATCAATATATCGAGTCATGCTTAATAATTTATTACAAATGGGAAAAAAAATTATTAATTCAACGTAGATTTTGGTTGCATTAAGGGACTCTTTATACTCAGAAAGAGTAATTTCAAACAGAAATTTTGTACATCAGCAAATATGTACGTACACAAAATTACTTCACATCTATTAACAAGAAATTAAACTTGGTATAATGCCTGCATAAGAGAATGTTTTATTTTTTCTGAAGTTGAAGCGTATGGCAATGGTCTGGATAAGAAAAACTGCAACAAGTCCCGAGTCGAGGCATGGAAATATGGTTGCCTCACGGAGTGTTCGAGAATTGCCAAAGCTCCACTTATGTCAAGATTCTTTTTGGGTTTTTTATCTTCGCCTTTAAGCAAGTTAATATGCACCAGAAATGTGTTGTTAAACTCTGAGATATTAGCCGTTTTAAAAGCTTGGCTTAAAATATAATCAGAAAATTTACAGGCTGTCTCTTTTTCTGCAGTATTCTCTGGATTTAGAGTCAATGCGACTTTCATAAATAACTCAAGAGAGTCATTAAGAGTAGGATTTTCAGGTAAGATAGCTTTTAAAGCAATATTAGATTTTTCAAGTGAAACTAATCCTTCGACAGATGGATTAGCAATGAAATCGGCAGGAGTAGTAACTCTAAACATGGGGCTTTGGTATGATTTTTGAGTCAGTTCTTTTTCTTCAACTGAATCATCATCTTCAGTATCTGTCTCTTCATCTTCCTCATCTACAATGTACTCTTCATCATCAGCATGCTCATCCTCATGTTCTTCATCTCCATCATAATCATCGTCATCATCTTCGTCACCTTAAATAATGATGAAATAATATTTTCAGTAATTTTATATAAACCAAGATTTTAATTAATATTTATTAATGTACCTAGTGACAAAATACAATAGAACCTTGAATGGTCATAAATTCCTTCCAAGTGTGCAAGAAACCAGTTTCTGCCATTGGCATGGCAAAAACCAGTTTCTGCTGGCAAAAAGCCAACCCTTGATGCAACATACAAATATTTGGTATTTAGCCAACACAGAACACAGAATATTCATTTCAGACGAATAATGGAAATGGAAATACACACAAAATGAAAACAAATACACACAAAAATATTTTAAATAACACAACTTAGTTATGTATCACTTCTAATGTTTTACACATTAAGTAAACTTAAACAATTCTTAAATTTTATTTACCTAATATTTTATCAATTAGTTTTAAGAATAATATATTGCTCAATTATTTATTTACAAAAAAAACATCATTTAATGTCAATAAGACAATGTTTGTAGAAATAGAAATATTTTCTTAGAATACTACATTTGGAGTTTATAAACTTTTTTTTGACTTCGAAGAGGTTAAGGTACATAATATAAATGAGATGAGATCAAACTTAGCCTTAGAATTAAAGCAGACAAACATGATTAACAAAATATTAGAGCAATATATGTCGATTGCTAGCAGTTTTGAAAATAACTATGACAGCTGAACACTCAGCATCAATTAATTTTTCCTGCCCATTTACAATAATATGTAGATGTCTATCGAATGTTTCTTGTAAAGGGTCCGATTAAAAGATAAATTATTTTGTGAAGGGTTATTTATTTTGTTACATTAATTATTTTGTTACATTTTTATTTGGGGATGAATTTTTCAGTATTTTAAAATTAACTATTAATTTTTTTTAATAAATACCTTTTATTTAAAAATGTACCATTAAATGTTTATTTTCTCACAATTTTCAGTTTAAAATATAAAAAGAAAGCTTTAAAGTTGTTTATTAATTAGTCCCCTCTTCTTTTTTTTTAGTTTACTTTTTTTTAGTAAAATTTATTCACTGTTGTCTTTTAGCTTGCCTTTAATTATTTTTCAAAAGCTTCAGACTTCTCTGTTATTTTGATAATGAGAGAGAATTATTTTGTGAAGTATATACATAGACATAAAATAGTATAATAGGAGAATTTAAAAATTTAGGATCAAATTGGGTATTACATAATGTTACATATTTTGATTAATTTTAACGGTGGTAACTGAGTGTCCTTCAAATACTCAAAGTGCGCTTTTCTGTGAGAAAGTACACTGCACTTTTTTATTCATAGAGTGAAATCTGGATAAATTATATGCAATTTTTAAATGTCCTATGGATGGTGTTTTCTACACTAGGGAACGCTGCAAGCTCGGGACTGCCCAAATTTCCGGGTTACTGTTTCAGTTGTATTTTAAAGGCATTTCGCATCATTGTGTTTTCAGATTCTAGCAAACAATGTATTTGATTACTTATTACTCATGTTTACAATGCTAACAATACTTGTGTTTACAATACTAAAAGTGTTAACACNAATTTCCGGGTTACTGTTTCAGTTGTATTTTAAAGGCATTTGGTATCATTGTGTTTTGAGATTTTTGCAAACAATGTATTTGATTACTTATTACTCATGTTTACAATGCTAACAATACTTGTGTTTACAATACTAAAAGTGTTAACACCAACGTAAGATGGTGCACAACTTGCAACACGAACAAACAATAATAAACAAATGGAAAGAGGCCAAATCAAGACTGCCAAAAAAGCAAGATATTCAAAATCTAGCAACCATGCCACCTTTTTTAATAATAAATAACAAAATAACTAAAACAAATTTTCACTCCAGACTCCCCAGAATTGCATAATAACATTAATATCTTATGAAATACGGCAGATTTGAGCTCAGAAATTATCTAATATATTTCTTTTATTGAAAACAAAATTATCCATTTGAAAACATCGCCTATCATGTAGAACATGTAGTAAGAATAACATGTAGTAAGCAGCTGCAAACTTTTTAACCGGAATTGGAGTAGGTGCCGAGCTCGAGATTGTTATTGTTTACATTCCTATTGAAAACACCATCCGTATTTATTACTCTACAGCAAAAACATATTTATAAAATAATGTTAGTAAATTTCAAGTTAAGTAATAATGTCCCTAAAAATTCTGAATATAACACAGACCATCACCTACACCATGTTCTCATAGTTTTTAAACAATTCCAACTTAGGTCAACAAAGAAAAAAAAATCAATTAATTAAATTTAATTAATGAATTAATATTTGAAAAAACTGTATCAACATCAAGTGTCATCCACTTCAAGTTTAAAAAAATGAATTTGAACTTGGATGTGGAGTGGATGAATAAAAAGTATTTTATTAATGATTGAAAATTTGAACAAGATATATAAATATACATAGGGAGAGTATGAACTAATAGTAGGAATTGAAAAAAAAATCAATTAATTAAATTTAATTAATGAATTAATATTTGAAAAAAACTGTATCAACATCAAGTGTCATTCACTTCAAGTTTAAAAAAATGAATTTGAACTTGGATGTGGAGTAGATGAATAAAAAGTATTTTATTAATGATTGAAAATTTGAACAAGATATATAAATATATAGGTATAGGGAGAGTATGAACTAATAGTAGGAATTGATAAAAATTTAATTAAAGTGCAAGTAATAATCAAAAATTTTTTAATCTTCTTAAACATTATATTATGCTTGGGTACAATCAAAAGCATAAAAGGGAACGAGGTGCCTTTCTGAATTTTTTCTGGCATCAGTATGAAGAAAAAAATATTAATTTATGCATGCAATGTTTTTATTAAAATGATTCTAACAATTTCAAAATACAATGCTTTAAAAAAAAGAGCATTATTAAAAAATATTGAAAAGTATTTGAAATTTACCTATTTAAAATATTAATTTATATTGCTTTATTTTATGATGCATTATTTATAAGCATTATTGTGCTTAAAGCTTTCTTTATTGCGTTAAAACAAATATTGAAATAAAAGAATTTTTTTTATTGTTAAATCACCCTTTAACAGAAAAAATTTATTACTCTTCCCTCGATCCTTTTAAGTGAAAAACAAAAATTTGTATTTATTCAATCATAAGAAAAAAAAGGCTTGATCATTTTTAGTAATAAATTGACACAATGTAAATTGAATACTGCTAATTAATGACAATAAATTAAGTATGATATTCTCATGTATGCTGACAAAAGAGAACTTATTCATGTATAACAAATAGCTAACTAATATATCATTTTCAGATTAAACTTTTATTTGCATGTTAATTTTCAATGTAAATTAATGTATAAGCATATTTTTAAATTGTTTATTGAAATAGTAACTAAAAAATAAAATAAAGTCCTTTCAAGATTATAGTATTAATTAAGAGGATAAAGTATTATTTAACACTTTGTTACAAATAAATAAAATAAAAACTAGTTTAAACAACAAAAAAAAAAGTGTAAACCAAAAAAATCTAGGTTTAAACCATAAAGTTCAGGTTTTTTTGCAGCCTCGCCAAGAGGTGACTACAGGCTTTCCCTGAGTTTGTCCCAATCTGTGATATTTTATTTAATTTAGGATACAGCGCACGGTTTGGTTGTCACCAGAACCTGGCAATAATTTTAGAACAAGATACAATTTCAATAAACCTCCTCAGCATTTATCCAAAAAAATTTAACTAGATTATCAATTTTCTAAAAAATAGTGATAGAAATTACTTAAACGAATTGCTTTAACATAAAAAATATAATAAATAACAATATACCTTCATCTTCACTCAAAGAGGATAAAAAATCTAATTTATTTATATCTTTCATCTTGTCTTCAATCAATTGGCATCCGACATTTCCGAATTGATTTCCATTCAAAATAAGACTCTGCAATGTGTATTTATTCTCAATCGCTTTAACAATCGCCAACCCTCCATCTTTTTCAATCTCATTGAATCCCAGATTTAACTCGATCAAATGTTCACAATTAACTTGGAGAGATTTTGCCAGGACCTTAGCCCCCTCATTCCTCAACAAGCAATCTCCTAAATTAAGCAACTGTAATTGCTTCAGTGAAGGTAAACAACCTGCAATTAGTTTTGCTCCTTCTTCCGTCAAGCTGTTGTCATTTAAATTAATAACTGTTAAATTTGGATTGCAGCGAAAAGCTTCGGCCAAACGTGTAACACCAGGAGAATAGATACCATTCTGAGGCATCGCAACAGACTCCAGACTGCCCAACTGTTTAATAAACTTAGATACAGCTTTAGCACCTTCATTTTCCAATCTGTTACGGCCGCAAACAAATATCTTTAAGCTCAAAGGAGTACCGTGTTTCCGACTATTTTCAATGCAATTGCATATCGCTTCGGAGAGCATTTTTGCACCAGAAATACCTAAGCCATTGTTGTTTAAGTGAAGTTCTTGCAAAGTATAGCATGAAGATGACTGTAAAAGATCTTGAAGACCGACTAAACCTCGAGGACCGAAAGCGTTATCACTTAGATCTAACACCACAAGTTGAGCTTTGGCTGTCATGATTCCATTGCTTAAAAAAGTCAAGGCTTTAGGGATTTCATCTTTGGAACGCCGGGTAAACATATCTTTCCATAATGCTTTTCTGAAATTTTGCTGGCTTTCAAGAGCTTTTCCTACTGCTTCTGCAGCCGGGATTCCAAAAGTATTGCCCTCTAATTTTAGAGTAGTCATACCAGGACAATTTTGGATAGCTTCAACGATTTGTGCGGCATCTTTAGCGGTATCAAGAGACAAGCCTTGTCCAACAAAACTTACTTCTTTTTCAACATCTTCAACTTTAGTGGATGACAACTGATCAGCTAAATTATCAATTTCGCTCATAGTGAATTAATTAGGAATGGTAATATACTATAAAATTAACAAAGAAAAGTTGTGAGCAATCAACGATCAACGAAATAAACACGATTCAAACAGAAAAACATCAATGACAGCGGTCACAGTTTGACGCAAAGAGGAAGGGAAGTACCACTTATTCAATGGCTCATATGCTGAAAAAAACACTTTAACTTCTACTATCAACAATACATCACTTTGACCGTTTCCGCTGTATGGGATTGGCGCAATTCCGATCTTTGTCTGATAAGTGAGCCATTCGCAGGAAGATATATTTTACTAATCTGGTTGCTCTCATTTTCCCACAACTGCAATCGGAGGTGTGAAAGTCAGAGCCAATCTAATGGAGATGATCATTGCGCGAGATTCGCATAAGTGGGCGTAGGTCAACGTGAATTACTCATGCGTGAGCAGCATTTATTTTCGAAGCATTTATATGCACATCTAAGGGCACTCGCATACAATTTGAATGCTCTCTAAAACGACATAACGGCACTCGTGAACAACAGAACAACGAAACTCCTAATAGTAGGAATTGAAAAAAANACTTCGGTGATCTGCTGGGAACCGTGTCTTAACGATCAGTCCACTGCGGGACGGAAGATATTTGGCTTTGAATACGTTGTTGTTGTTCTTTCGATTACGTCACACTAGAGCATCCCTGAGGATGATCCGAAGACATGCCATCACAATTTTGATCCTCTGCAGAGCGTATGGCACCCCCGCTTCAGTAGCCCGATGGCCTACACGCGAAGTAGAGCACTTTACAGTAGAACAGTTTAACGAGGACCAATACCGCACACCCTCTGTCCCTACCCAGACTGATCCAAGTGGTCACCCACCAACACACTGACAGCAACCAGTGATGCTTGACTTTGGTGATCTGCTGGAAACCGTGTCTTAACGATCAACCCACTGCGAGACGGCTTTTGTTACGTTCAAAGTAAATATACTTTTTTGTAAACCATTCGGTATTATCCAAAAGAAATCAATATTTTAAAATTTTATAGAGAGTTGACTAAATGTTCTCTATAACAAGTTTCCAAAAAACGGAAGAAATTTAGAAAAATTACGGTGATCAATCCGCTTATGTTATGCTTACAAGACGATGTGTAAACAGGCTAACTATTCCAGGAACATGCACACTTTTTGTTTATGTTTAAATTTACGCATAATTTTGCAACTTATTGTGAGCCTAGAACAAATTTAAGAAAATTAATATTAAAACATAATTAAACATATGTGTTAACCCTTATTTAGCTATATTTGTGTAAAAATATTTCAGTTAAATATTTTTTGGGTTGCATCTTGCTGGGCATAGCATGCTTGCGGAGTATTACATATTAATTTGTTGTTTGTTTTGTTGAAATTTAAATTGTAATAACTCATTATATTGTAAACACTAAAAGTGTAATAGTATTTGATGATGTGTTTTTTCAAGTTTAGGGGTAAAAATCAATTGGAAGTAGTAACCCGGAAACCTTACGATAAATTTTAACCACCAGCGCCATCTATGCTAATGTTTACACGAGCAACCATTCATACTTTAATCCAATTTTTTTTATTAATTATTATTTTTCTTATAATCATAGGAGTATTTAACTGCAAGAAAAAAAATTCCAATTGTCCTGTTTATAACTTTGGCTAAACTGGAATACATGGAACAAAAAAAAATCTTCAACTTAATCTTAACTTAATCCTAAATCCTTAATCAACTTAATCTTAAACTTAAAATAACTCAGAATGTAATTACCGCAATAGTAACATTTTGATATCTAAATATTCTTTAAGCATTTCACTAGAACCGTGGTGACGCAGGGGATAGAGCGTTCACCTTCCAGTGAGGTGAACTGGGTTCAAATCCCAACGATTGCTGGTCGATACGAATTCTGCACCCTACTCGCACCGACCTCAGTGCTGACGTAAAATATACTCAGTGATAGACGAATCATTGGTTAGAGTCCCCTAGCCTTCAGGCTAACCGCGCGAGGTTATCGCGGTTTTCCTCTCCATGTAACGCAAATGCGGATGAGTTCCATAAAAAAAATCCTCTACGAAGGCAGATTTTTCCCAATACTTGGTCCAAGAGTTTCCTTGTCTTCTGCATTGGATTCAAAATTAAAAGGCTACGGAGTTAAACATTACTGGTCGTAAACCCAAAATTGGGTTGGCTGTTCAACGACGGCTATAAACATTTCATCAGAAAAAAGGCGATATTTTATAATACAACACCAAATAGTTTTTGCGTTATGATGAATGAGAATGAAAGGACGCGTTTCGAGAAAACTTTTTGAAAGAACAATGACCGTGGCAGTATTTTAAAAAAAAAATATGAAGAACCATATAATTTTGAATGACAAGTTACGACGTTTGATTTATACGCAGTTGAATACTTAGTTTGTGATCACCTCATATCTTTCAGTCTCACCAAAAGTATGAAAAAAATATTAAACCAGAATAACACTCTTCTGACTACAAGGAGTGCATGGTTTTCTGGATTGATAACTGTACGTAAGAAAGACCAGGACACCTACGTTTATTCAAAGCATGACTTTAATGGTAGACTTCGCACAATTCATGACTATTATGACAACATCAAAGAGATAACTTGTATGTCCTCAGGAGCAATTCTTGTAAAAATGCAGGATTTATTAATTGAAATTTTAGCCATTTCGTCAGCTATTTCAATTACAAGTATACCAGTATGGCAAGGAATCCAAACCAGATGAATAGTTACCGAGAATCCGCAGGATTACTTAGGGCTAGAGTGATGTGTTGCGTAATTGCTAATGAGGTTGACGATATAGAAACGTGGGCGAATAAGTTGGGCAGATAATCTGTGAAGATGAGTAGCTTAAAATGAAATACGTTAGATTGCCAGTAGGATGGTGATGCCTTCTGTTGTGAGGATGGAGCACAGAGTTGAAACCGACCCCGACAGCACTGAGTAGTTGTGAGGGTTATAAATTGCGAAATCAGTTCTGTCAGAGGATCACGGTGCATCTGTATTAGAAGCATGTGATTATTCCAATGTTGACTGACAGATTCTCGAAATGCAGAAGTTATAATTATTGGCGGGAGGCAAGAGGTTCTTGTCTTGAAACAGGAAGTTGGACATTCACAGTTGTTCGTAGCTTCACAGTTGTTAGTTGAACAGGAGTAATCCCAAATGTGTTTATGATGCTATCTGGACGAATTCCGTAGTTAGCAAGTTACAGAATCGTTTTAATGGGGAGAGTTTTTTTTCCAGAGCTATGGGGAAATCTGAAGATTTTTGTACACGGTCGCACTTAATGATTGATATGAAGCTTGCCGAACATAGAATCTTTTTTCCAGATCATCTTGGAGATCATGGGGACTTGATGAACTCCTGATAAAAGAGTAGTATTGGTGCCCCATTGGGTAATTCAGTTGCTATTCTTATAGCAGTATAGAACACAGAATAGTCTTCCGGTCTGCTTTGTTTGACAGCGGTGCCGACCGGCCTGTGTAGGGGGCAGGGAACTGTTCTTGCATCAGAAAGGTTCTGGGTTCGAGTCCCGGGCAAGTCTTTCCTTCGAGTCTTTCCTTCTCTGTACTATCTGTCCTCACTGCGTTAGCGACGTTGACCCACCTAATATGGTGCCCCTGAAGGAGAGGTCAACAAAATTGCCCTGTAAATGCCTGAATTGACGGATGTTAACACAAGTGGGCATTGGAGAAAAAAAAATTTTGACATCGAATGTAAGTGACATCCGAAGTCCAGAGAGAGAATTATGCATGCTTGAATAATTTTGATTAAAAGCGATGAACGCTTTCTTCATGAGTTTCTCTCGATACTCATTTAGTTTCTTGAGGGCAAAAACGCGTTTTTGGAAGAAGCGATGTCGAAAATTGAGTTGTTGTAGTTGTAGTTCATTTACGTCGCACTAGAGCTGCACAATTGGCTATTGGCGACGGTCTGGGAAACATCCCTGAGGATGATCCGAAGACATGCTATCACAATTTTAATCCTCTGCAGAGGGGATGTCACCCCTGCTTCGGTAGCCCGACGACCTACACGCGAAGTCGAGCACTTTACGGTAGAACAGTTGAACGAGGACCAATACCGCACACCCTCGGTCCCTACGCAGACTGATCCAAGTGGTCACCCACCCGCACACTGACCGCAGCCAGTGATGCTTGACTTTGGTGATCTGCTGGGAACCGTGTCTTAACGATCGGTCCACTGCGGGACCGAAAATTGAGAGATGAAAAATGCACGGCAAAGATACGAATATGTGAGGTCACTGGAATATCCGTACTACAACGAAAGACAGGATGAGGGTCTAGAAGACGAGGTGAAAAGTCTATAACTTAACATTTGGAAATGTTAACCGTTAGAGACCACTCAGTTAGCCACAGTTGCTGGTGGATTAGAGTTTGGTTCAGTTTTCGAAGAAATTAATGGGAGCATGATGCGTATGCGAGTAATCGTTTGCGTAGATGACGCAGATAGTGCCATCAGGGAGAACTTCATTGATATCGTTTATATAAATGATGAATATGAGAGGCGGAAGTTCCGATCCTTGAGGAACCCCTCGGTGCGAGAAGTGCTTAAACAGCACGTTTCTCCAACGCACTCGAAGAGTCCTAGTTGCGAACTCGAAGAGACGAAGTTGCAGTTCTATTTATGAGGGGTTCTAGAACTATTTTATTGGAATAGTTTGAATGCTAGACCATCCTCCCTGACCATATGCCTGGGTGATGTTGATCGACACACCTGCAGTAAGAAGGCGGTTGACCTTAGCGTATCGAAGGTGACAGTCAATGATTGATTGTAGGCTATCATATCCCAACGATTTAAGAAACTTAAATATGTATTGAAATCACTAAGAAAGATAAACATATGCTAAGTAATTATGACATAAAAGACGTGATATGACACAACAGCTGACAACTCTGTATTTGAGGGGGGCAAACCACCAGTTCAAACAAATAGGTGCCAAAGAGGCCTACACAAACGTCGGATTTTAGCAAGTAACGCCGATTGGTTCGCACAATTGGGAAGTGGTCAATCAACAGAACGTTACAAGTCATAAACCTTCAAAAAAGTCGTATTATTGAACTTTTATTTCTCAAAAACTACTTGGTTGATTTTGTTCAAACTTTATAAGTTGTGATTAAAAATTATGCACTTTAAAATGCTTTAATAATTTATGTATTTTAGATTTCATAATGAAAAGTAGTAGTCTTAATTATTTAAAGTGTAAAAAAGTTTTTTACACTTTAAATAATTAAGATTATTATAATTTCAAAATGCACTTTTTTATTAAAGCAAATTGATTAAAATAAAATCTGATGTAAATTTAATTTTCTTTTTTAAAGTAAATAATAAATTTAATCGAAATGGGAATTTTAAAAAATGTCTCGTGAGCTTGCAAAAAGTTATAATGCTCTTCAAGCCCAGAAATATTTATTCTTCAGATTGATTTCGTTTTTAAATTACGAAGCGAAACGAAATATATATATAAGTAAGTTAAAAATATAGAGAAAACTTGGAAAAAATATAGCGCAGATTTATGAAAAGAGAAGAAGAAAAATTATGAAAACAAAATATTTTTAAAAATATTTAAGAATTTTATTATAAAAATAAATAAATAAATAAAAATTAAAAAATCGGAAAACAAAATAATGAAAAAATATAATCTTGTCATCAGCTTGCACGATTATATACTTATAAAAGAGTGTTAAAGCTTCAAGATCTTGTTATTAACTTTTCTTTTATTAATTTACATTTCAAAATTCTAAGTTTCGATCTTGTTAAAGCTAAAAAGAAAAAAAATTCCCCTAATAAAAAGAAAAAATTAGATAATTTATATTTTGTTATTAACTTTCAAAACCCTATTTTCAATATGTTTAAATTTCATAAAATTTTTAAAAACTTAAATTTTTTTTCTCCAATATAATGATAGTAACAATTAAACAAAATAGTGCAAAAAAATAGTAACAATTTTAAGCTTAGCAATTTTAACAATTATGCAATTAATAAAAAGATTTTAGCTTTGTATAAGAGATGGAAAATTAAAATCAGTTATATACGATTTCCATACTTAATTATTAGTCCAAAATTTCATAAAATTCCTATTAAATTTAAAACAATCACTTGTGGATCTAATACTTATTCCTTAGTAACTGATTTTTTAGTACTACATAAATTATTATTTACGATAACCTAAGAAAATGAATAACAATTTAAGTGTTGCCAATAGATTGAGAAATAACCATAGAGAAATATATATGTAGACTACAGAAAGGCAAGAATAATAAAATGACATTATTGTAAGGAAAGAATAACAAAAGAATAGTAAAGTAATGAGGAATAATAAAAGAATATTGCGGAAATGTGAAAATAATAAAAATATGTGATAAAAGTGCAAAAATAATAAAAAAATATTACAGAAATGTATAAATAATAACAAGAACTTAGAAATGAAAGAGATATAAAACTTTATATTCTGCAATATTTATCTTCCTTTAACAATTAACGACCTTCCATTTGTAGAATTACTTAAATTAGTTTTTACAAAAATTCATGTATTTTATTGTTTATAGGTTGCTTTTTGCGATAATAAGGCCTTGATTTCGCTTGCTTGTTATAGATATATGTATTAAATTTCGGTTCCTAATTGCGTAGCATATTTTGTAATCTAAGAATCTTCGTGTTTTTAGTTCAAATACTCTAAGTTCAACCGTAGGTAACTACGAAATTACAAAATCTGTATGAAAATTGCTTAAAATTTTTATTATTTGTTTTTCAGAAATTAACTTTAATTCTGTTTGATAATAGCAATTTTGAATTGAAAATGAATAGTAAATTTTTAAATATCGCAATTTATTTTCGAAACAATTTTTTCGAGAAAAATATATTTTACGTTACTCACGTCTTTAGCGCTAAAACTTTTTAGATACCGGTAATACGGTATATTTTGACGGTAACCGGTAATACGGTATATTTTTAGTAAATGTTGTGTAAGAGTAGAGTTTTGGTGGAAAAGTGTAAAAACGGGTAAATGTTTAAATTTAAAGAAAAAAAAATTAAAAAAAATTATTTCGTATATGGGTCAAGAAAATATGAACTAATTAGAGAGCTAACTATAACAAATATTAAAGCAAAATTTCAGAAAATTTGTATGGAATATTTCCAAAGAAGGTATTTTAAATCAATTATATTAAATAATAATAATAAAATTATATTCACGGCGCATGTTTGAAAAGTAGGATTAGTTATTTGTTTGTCGTTTAAAATTATAATCGGTATATATTTCAGCAAAAAGTTCTACATTGGATAACAATCTATAACAAAAACAAAAATATTATTAATGAGTACGCATGGTATTGTTTCAATCGTGATTTGAATTTAAAATATAATTTCAAGAGTAAATTTATTAAATTAAGACATCGTTTAAAATTTGTTTTTAGTTTTCAGCATAAACTTGATTTGGCTGTGATTTGTTGTAATAATAAAAATCGTTAAAAATGTGTTTATGGTATTTTTAATAATAAACTAATTATCAATTTATTTTTAAAATATATAGTAAATTTTGTATACATGATAAAAAATAGCTTTCGACAAATTCTTTTAAATCGAAGCGGCATCCCTGCCTGATTTAAAATTTTTAAATCTATTTAAAAAAATATTTTGTTAGTCAAATTCTCAATTCATAGATGGCAGCACAGAATCTTACGAAACTCAAATAGAGATGAGATCCATTCAGCGTAATATCGTAGGATTGGTACGACCAATCAGAAGTCTGATATACCAAATCACAGACCACCTTCCTTGAGGGCTGGCTTGATGTTATGCGAAAATATCCGCGATTTAAACATCAAAAGTAACTAACAAACTAAACTATTACTTACAGTATCACTTGCACCAGGACTAACCCTCATCCAAGGAAATGTGGACTCATTTGTTTTACATATTAATCTGTGTCAACTTGTTTAATGGATTTACCAAAGGCGAAAAGGTATGTCTGCTTTTTACCGCTTTAGGTTAGTGCTCCGAAATAGTGGATGCTACTACCGGAGCTGTGTGCCATGTGTGTTTTACGTTTAGCTGTCTAATGTAATTCTATAAAACGTCAAACATGTGCCATCAATATAATTGATAATTATACAATTCAAGGTTTCGTCAATATATATAAAACAGAATTTTAGTTATTGCTTGTAAGTCGTGGATTGTAATCAATAATTTTATGGATTGGGTGTTAAAGATAAACAATTTAAATTTTTGTTGATAGTCATGTGACAGCAGGCAAAAAATTTAATTAAGTTGAGTACTTCTGGTACATTAATTTATCAGTAAAATTTAATATGTTCAATACGAGTATGTATATACATTACGAGTAATTATTATAGTTATTAAATGTTGTGTTTTGATTCACGGTATAGACGCCGAAGCTTTTTATGGGTAAAATAAAGAAAACAGATTGAAATTAAACATTCTATTGAATGCCCTTTTTGTAAAAATTATTCTATTAAAATTTGAACATTTACTGAGTAAAGATATTTTCAGGTGATTTTTTTTACTATCAGGACTTGTTATAATTAACGTGTTAATGTCAAATCTTTATTGTAATTAACTCTAAGTCAGCTAAATACTATTGTTGCATAAATGTTCTTATTCGTTAAATTTCTAAATGCATTACGAATAATTACGTCTTTGGTCAATTTTTGCCTGTCACAATTGTGTTTGATAAACAGTATATGTTACTAAGACTTTCCGAGGGAAATAGAAATAAACAGATAGGTCTGAACCATTACAATAAACATCATTAGTACAATTTTATTACATTGTGTATAATTATTTTATCTTATTCTATAATCACTACAGATGATTATCTTTTACCATGGTTTTTGACAGTTAGGGTTCTGTGTTGATTGTTTTAATGTCAATTTTTTTTTGTTTATTAATTTTTACGATTATTAATTTATTAATTAATTTAAAAATTTTTGAAACTTTTGCTTTAAACTTAAATGTAGCTGACTATTATTTTATTTTAGTCTATAATCACTACAGATGATTATCTTTTACCATTGTTTTTGACAGTTAGGGCTCTGTGTTGATTGTGTTAATGTAAAAAAAATTTTGTTTATTAATTTTTACAATAATCAAAAAGAAATTTGAAAATTTTACGATAAACTTAAATGCAGCTGACTATAATCGTTTCAAAAATCAATTTTTGTAAGATTTCTTGTTTCAAATTCACTCAGAATATATTTTTGGGTGATTTTTTTAAAGCTATTTAAGACTGTTCTGATGCCAAAATCTTTCATTTGTATATTAAAATAAACAAGATTAAAGTATTCCAGTTAGTAGGTAATTAAAGTACAGTTGAATACTTCCGTATAAATTATTTTACTCATATAATTTCTAAATTCACCACAGACAAGAGTATATTTGGGTGATTTTTGACAGGACTAATGTATTAACTCCAATTTTTTTTTTTTGTTTATTTCAAATTTTTGCATTAAACTACTTCATATCAATTGAATGCTGTTGTTGTATGTATAAATTTTTGTAAAGTTCCTTTCAAATTAATTCTGATTATTCTTTTAGAAGGACTTTTTTGAGAGTGAACTGTTTAGATTGATTCCAAAGCTTTTACTTTAAAAAATAGTGGTTTAAACCATTTACAGTAATAAAATTTAATGCAATTGAATGTTATTACTTAAATTATTTGTGAAATTTCTAAATTCAGGCTAATAATTATAATTTCTTATATTTTACGATGATTTTCGACAGTAATTTTGAATCATAATTTGATTGACGCATAAGCTTTTTCTGTGTGTATGGTATGCTCAAATTGGCGGGCAATATTTTAGGATGATTTCTGACAGTTAGGAATTGATGGATTTAAAGTTTTTCTTTTTGTTTATTTTAATCTGTTTATTTCAATTTCAACTTTAAAATAATTTAATTTCTGGTGAATATTGTTACATAAATCAATTTTCTTTAAATGTTTAGTTTGCTAATTCACTCTTAAATATTCTAGTGGTATTTTTATGAGCCATTTGACACCAGGTTATTAACTTTTTATTCATAGTTTTGGAACTGTTCATGTGCTTTGAGTAACTTTTCAATTGAGTTATTGCTCAAATTTATTTTATTCATAACCTTTCTTAATTAACTATGAACACTCATATTGTTGTGATAGTCCTTGCTTTGATGCAATTTTTAAATTTTAAATTAGAATATTGAATCAATCATTACAATGAGCTAGTTTAATTAGATTCATTATTGTTTACATAAAAGTATCTTTTATTTAAAATTATTTGCATAATTTGCAATTTTATTTTATAGTGATTTTTCGTTATTCTTTATATTTTTTATGTAATAGTAGAGTCTGTGATTTTTGGCGTTATAATTTTTAAACATATATAAAATTTTGAAATCACTTTATGCATTCAGTTTTTTAAAACTTTTTTGTATTTATTGCATGAAGCACCAAATGAAATATAAAATTTTTGGAGATATTTCTGTATCAAAATTTGTCGCGTCAGTTAAAGCCACCAAGGCACCTAGTGGATTTTAAATGTACAAATTTTTACAAAAGAGAAAGTAAAATAAAAAATCTGGAGACTTGTTTGAAGGTGGTACAAATTATACCCTTAGAGTTGGTCCTTTTCTGTGATTTTTTTTGTTTTTAGTTTCTCTCGCGGGAAGTTGCCAATATTTGGCGTTTATTCTGCCTTAGACCACAATACATGAATCATCCTGCATTATTTTTTACAAAATCAGAATGGGTTGGTTTGTGTCTCAAATACCAAAAAACTGCCATGTTTTGACCACAACTAGGTAGTGGCACTAAAAAAAAAACAGAAAACCCTGAAAGAGACTAATTTACAGGATATGATTTGTAGCCACATCTACGCAAGCTTTATTTAAATATATAGATTTATATTAAATTTTTTGCATTTACAATAACCCTTTCGAAGCCTTAAAGATTCTAGTTGCTGCGAAGGTCCCCTTCCGGAAATTCAATACCAAAAAACTGCCATGTTTTGACGACAACTAGGTCCAGGTAGTGGCACTAAAAAAAAAAAAATGAAAACCCTGAAAGAGACGAATTTGAAGGATATGATTCGTAGCCACATATAGGCAAGCTTTATTTAATTATATAGATGCATATTAAATTTTTTTGCAATTACAATAACCTTTTGAAAGCCTTAAAGATTCTAGTTGGTGCGAAGGTCCCCTAATAGAAATTCAATACCAAAATGAATAGGTATATTAATGGTTGAGTACTACTAAAAAGAAAAGTTGATGCATGTAGTAACCTAATAATATAATTTTTTTTCAAAGATTAATTTTTTCTTTAAAAATTATTGCTGGGAAAAAATAATTGTTGTCATGATAAATGATGAGTTAATTAAACCTATGTGTACTACATATCAATAACTTCATTTATAATCTGTAAAAGTGGTTTCAGATATCAAAGTAGATTCTTTATCTTTTGAATGAAACTTGAAATTTGAAGAAAAGTAAATTTTTATTGTTTTTTAGAGGGTAATTTTTATATTTTCTTGCAATTTTGAAACAGTAATTGGTTGCCTGTTACAACTCTTTTTGAATTTTACAAATAAATTGAATGATTGCTTGTAAATTTCTGAAAGTAAAAAAGAGAATTCCCTCTTTTTTCATTAATTGATTTTTTAAAGGGAATGGGATAATTTCCTAGTGAAAAGGACAGTTTATTAAATTATACTAAGAATTTTAGTTTTAAATGTTTTTCTCTTCAGCCTTTATAAGAGAAATAAACAATGTTGCTTATTAATATTCTGAACATTTCTTGTATACGTTTTTTTTTTGTAACTTTATACGCTTTTTTCTTTTTTTCTGAACCTAATTTCCACATTCAAGTTTTTCTGTAAAAACTTTGTTAAACCATCAAAGTTATGCAAACTTATGCTCAAGAGAAATGGTAGTAAATACCATTTTTACTAAAAGTGCCAATTTTACTTAGAAATATGTAACTTAGAGGAAAGAAGTCATAAATTTGAATAAAAATTCTAAAAAAAAACAGTTTAAATTAATTAAACTTAATTATTTTTAAATTAATTTAATATTGCATTAATAATAATAAATTTTAATCTAGCTGTTTTTGGATATTTTAAATGTGTATTTCTGCAAATTTTGGTCGTGATACAAAATCCATTCCACCTTAATTACCAATACATTTGTCTAAAAGGTTGCTGGAATCGAATTAGTTACCTTCCTTTTAATTTTTCATTGTAATTCAAAATTTTGACAAGGGTAAACAAACTTTTGTTTATCAAGATTATGACATTGTAAATGCATACAAAAGAAAAAAGAAAATTAATTTATAAAATTATACCAAATGTTTATAAAGTACTGGATGGAGATCTGGACTGTATCTTAGGCATCTAGATCTCAAAGTACTGGACCTGATCTTAAGAAGATATAGTGTGTCGACGGTTGCTGATGGTAATAATTTTTAAATGTCTCTCAATACTTTTAATTGAAAGTGGATATTATTTTTCTTGTTTGTCCAACATTGCCTTTTAATTTTTTGTTTAAAAGGCATTAAAAAAAAAAAAAACTAGTTTTGGATACGAATACTTTTGAGCTTTTTAAAATGTTTATCAAAAAGAGAAAGTTTAAATATTTTCGACTTGTAAAGAATCTAATTCCACATAGGAAGAATTCGATAGAGTAACATGAAGAATTTATTTTAAATATGTAAATTCTCTTTGAATTATTGCTTTTGTTTAGCTTGTGTAACAGTGATAGCTATAGTTATTATTTTCTATTTATTTCCTATAAATTGAACTATAACATAACACCACATTAGAGAAAAAAAGTTTTTAGGGGGTTTACTCGTGGGTACAAAAAGAAAACATATTTAGAAAAAAACAAACCCAACTTGATTTCCTTTAATTTTTTCTCGCCTCAATTACAGTATTCAAAATTCTGTTAAATACTTACACAATAAAATTATTAAAA